AGGAAAGAAGAAAAATTTGGAGGCTAGCAGCTCACTAAAAAGAAGGAAAAGTTAAAAACTAAGTTTCAGAAACGGCACAAAGTTTGTCCAAATGAACAAAGAGAACCGTTTCTATCAGAAGAATGGGAGCAATTGGGACGCCTGTCCCCTGTCTACAGAGGTTAAGACTAGATGACCCCGGCCACTTCCACTCTCTGAAGCCAACACTCAGGGACCGTGCGTCGAATGTATCTGGGATTAACGTACAGAGGGTCGTAGAGGCTCACTGAGTGATGACGTGGAGGGGTCAATGGCATTGAAAGAAGTTTTATTATGTGCAGTTCCTGAGAGGAGGGGACACGCCGCACCACGCAGGGCCACATGGGGAGGATCGAGGGCCAGTCAGGAGGCAGACGGAGTGACAGAGCCTGCAGGTCGGGTTCATGGGAAGGAGGGTGAGGCGGGGCAGGTGGTTCAAGCGAGTTCAAGTTGGGACAGCGTGAATAATTTCAGTGGGCTCAGGGCAACAGGGTTGGTCTCTAGCTGCCCGTAACTGGGAACAGGGGAAACATCGTCTTGGTGAGAGTGAGTTAGATAAGGATGTGGCTGAGGCTTGAGGCTTTGCCTTGAGTGGTGTGTACGTGAAAGGCACACTCGCAGCAAGCTGTTTGCTATCCCTAGGGGTTAGCTAGCCCTCAGAGGAGCAGTCTCCCCCCACCCAGCATGACCTCCATATGAGTCAAAGCATCATAAAATATAGAAAATAAAAAAACATAATGAATGAATACAGCCCACAGTCTTTGGAGTTCTGATGACCCCATATCCTCCCGTGATATACTTCCCCCCTCAGGACCTGGTGAACACAGCTTCCCTTACTGGGCCCAGCCCTTCTACCTCGTCCACCTGGGAAAATCCCAACCATCCTCGAGAACCTGACACAAGGCACTTCCCACACCAGCACATCCCCTCAGCCCTCTGTTCAGGTGGCACTTGTCCTGCCCTGCCCTGAGGATCAGGCTTCACCCCCTCTGCATCCCCACACCCTGCCTGCTCTGAACAACGTGACTTTGGGAGATGACTAACGCGCCACAGTCTGACGTCCTCGTCTGTAAGATGAGGATACAAATCCGCAGCCACCTTGCAGGGCTTTGGTGAAGATTCACTCAGACGTGGGGAAGGTCTCGTCTGGGCAGGCGCACAGCAGGCGCTGCAGGATGGCCACTGTCGCCATACGCTCTCACGGAAGTCCGCGACTCCAGCTGAGTAAGGTGGCTAGTCCCTTCCACATCTCAGACGCTGCCTCCGTGCACAGGGCACACAGTCCGATCCCTTCTCAGAAAGGTTTCTGGTGGGCACTGAAATCCGGCCATGCCAGC